TGTTAAAATATATTTTAACAAAACTAAATAGCCTACAGTATTTTTACAGTCTTTATTTTACAGTTAAAATATATGTTTATCAAATAAAGTCTAATGTTACAACTAATCGGGGATCCCTTTAACTTTGATTAAACAGAAACTGTCATGTTCATCGTCTTGTTGCTACAACTGAGCACTGYTAACAAAATAACTGAGCTCTACGTGGTATTTCCTGCATCGAAACAGCGTTTTAACRTGTCTTGTTATAAAMACTGAAAGGTACTACATGTACGACTGACTAAATGTGGATTAAATAAAATTTACACAATGTGTGTACATCCTGACAGGTGCATGGAACATGGCGTACACAATCTTCTTGAGCGTACGCAACGTTGATACGTAAGGCCTCTGATGTGAGCAACAAACCCACAGTAACAGGTAGGAGTGACAGGGTGAAGTTTAAACAAGTAGAAGAGATAAGAACAGGTGTGTGGACAGGATTCAAGTGGGCAAAAAGAAGGACAGGAAGTGGATAAAAACACAGGACATGAAGGCACCGAGTCAGAGTCACCCCACCAAAGACCCAGTACAAAAAAACAAAAAACAAAAGGAAACAAGGCAACAAGAAACGCCACAGAAAAAGAACCATTCCTGTTCTGAGGAGAGTCTCTGGGAAGAAAAATAAATAAAATAAAACAAGGACTAGTCAGTTTTACTGCAGGGAGTCTGGGACCTATCAGAGAGATTCAGGGAATGCACCATGCTTCTGTCGTCTCAAACAAGAGACAGAGTCGGAAGAGAGACGAGCGATGGGACAGATCAGAGCAGTGAGGAGCGTTTTGATGAGTACAAAACGAGGAAGGGGTGAGAAGGAGGAGGAGGGGAAGCAGCCACGTATAGCAGAGAACTGATCACTGACAGACAGAGACACAGGAGTGCTGTACTTACAATCATCTGTGGAAGGAGAGTGGAGCAGGATGTAATAATATTCACAACGACAACCAGAAAGAAGAGTCAGTCAAGCTGCAAAGAGCCCCACATCAATCATAGAACAAATTTGGGCTCCAGCTAATTCAAGCAACATCGGTTAAATATTCAAAAATCAAATTTCGGGAAACTGTATTCAGTCAAGTGAACCGGGTAAAAGCTAGGCCAGTATTACAACCAGCTGTTGCAATACTGAGTGAAAGAACTCAACACTTATCAGTGATATGAGGCTCTTTAGGTCATACCACTAAAAAAAGCATAAAAAAACATTTATATCAAAAACAAAGCAAAAGAAAAGGAGGAAAAAGAAGAGGCTGCTTTCCATAATGTTGGAGTGGTTTTGGAAGTAGGCCAGATCCTGTGGGCAAAGGAATTCATGCCCCTCTGTTTGAGTTACTCATAAAGCAGAAATCTGCTGGGTGACATACTGGAGAGCAGCCATGAGCTGATGTTGAGATGATTATGGTGCAATCCTTTTTCCTTAAAGCTTTTTAACTAACTCCTCGCTGGTTGAAAGACTGAAGGCAGTGTTAAATATATCGTGTGTAGGGGCTGAGACGATGGCATGTGGATGGACAGCAGAAGCAATTAGAGCTTTTGTTTATACGGCAAACACAAAGTATCTGACTTTTTTTCCCCCCCATTCTCATTTTTCACCTCCTTCTCCTTTTTTATTTAATGCTCTTTGGCAGTTAAAGGTGTGAAATTACATGTTTGTGAATGTGTGGTGCTAAAGTTTATTAAAAAAATATAGTAAAGGTGTGCGCATAGCCAAATGTGTCCACATAGTAAGCACTATATGTGTCTGCATGGGTTGTGGGTCCAGTTCATTTGTAGTGATTCTACTGTTATAATTGTGTGGTTTTGTGTGAGTCGGCTCTCACCGTTTGGTCTGTGAGCGGCGGCAGAACTATGGTTTTCTCCATGGTGTTCATCACCAGCTTCCACAGCTCCTTTAGCACACGTTTCAGCACAGTCTTCTCACAGATCTTAGCAAACAAAGACAGACTGGCAGAGGAGAGCGAGATGAAATAAAGAGAGGTCAAATCTTCAGCATGAGAGAAAAACAAACACTCTAATCTAGGGATGAGAGTAACATTTTTATCCCACACCAATTTTAAATCTGACAGCGAATGCAAAGAGAACATCAAAAAACCATTTGAAATGACAATAAAATCATGTAATTATCTCAAGTATGAAGAAAGTTACGGATGTTTTTGTTCTGAAAATCAGGCTCATGATTTCTGCTGTAATTCATAGTTGAACCATTTTATCTTGTTTCGCCAATTTTTGCTCATAACTTGTCAAGATATTGCCAAGAAATTTTCTGAAGCATTTTGTATCCTAAAAAAGAAAGAATTACAAAACATAGTGGTGGGCAGCCGCTAATCCAAAAGTTAGTTGCTCATGTTCTAAAGCGCTTGTGAACTTATTTAGGTGTGTAAGTTCTAAAGAGCTTACATTCAATAAATCTTAGCGGAAGCTAATTATAAAGCGTTAAATTGACTCAAAGTTCATCAGAGTATATTCCAGTGACAACATGTGCCACTTTTGCGTAATACTGATGACCAAAAGCACATCACTCTTCCTTTACAGCATTGAACGTATCAATGCAGTTTGGGGAGGTGATTTGTTGAAACAGACTTTTGGCTCATGGTGATAAATAAAAGGTTGTTGAGGATTGCTAGTTCTGCACTGCAAAAACTGTCCATCTAACCAAGTTTTAAAATCTTATATCCAGCCAAAAAGTCTTTTAGATCTTGTTTTTAGACTGATTTACTAAACAAGAACTGATTGTGTAAGAATAATAATCTTCTTTTGAGAATGTGTAAGATTATTTGTCTTGTTAGTCTGAAAATTTGACTGAAATTAAGTAAAAAAAAATTCTGCCAGTGGAATAAGAAGATTTTACTTGGTAAGATTCTTGAAATACTTGATTTGACTCAATTTTTTCTTATTTCAAGAATCTTACCAAGTAAAATCTTCTTACTCCATTGGCAGAAATTTTTGACTTAATTTGAGTCAAATGTTCAGACTAACAAAACAAATAATCTATTCTGAAAACAAGATTATTATTCTTACACAATCAGTTCTTGTTTGGTAAATCAGTCTCAAATCAAGATCAAAAAGACATTTTGGCTGGATATAAGATTTTAAAACATGGTAAGATGGACAGCTAAAATAACGTTCTTCATGTAAAGCGTACCTATTTAAGAGATCATACAAAAAAATGTTGGTGATTTATCCATTTTGAATTTGACAGTTTCTCATTATTCAATGAAATAATGAAACAGTAGTGCTAATTAGTGAGGTCACCCTCCGGTCACAGTGTCCTGAGAAGAAAATGGCAACTGCTGATCTCTGTCTAATCGCCCTTAGTCCTCCCTCCCAACTCCCTGCCAAAAACAAAACCAATAACATGAAATAAATGCTGGAAAGTGACAAGTCTTTATAAAACATGGAATTTGATGCACACATATTGGTTTGCTTGACTTCTTTTTCCCAGCTGAAATTCTACACCTATTTATCACCAAYGTAAACAGAATTATTGTCTCACTTGCTGTCCAGGAACTCCATGATTGGCTGCAGGACGTTGTCAGCATCTTGAGCCACGCTGCTGGCGTTTCCTACATTTGACGTCCCCTTCACCTGAGCCAAGATGTCGCCCATCTGCTTTACATTTTCCTCAATATGAGGCTGGAAACTRTGCAGGAAAACACCAAGCTCTTTGTGAAATACATGCTGGAGAGATCTGCTTTGTGTAACATCAGGATCAATATATTTTTTGTACCTGACAGCAAAAACTCTGCTTAGATCGTCCATCACGTTGTTGAGTTTAACCTGCAGGTCCTTCAGGATATCACTAGCCTCCGTGCACAACTAAATCAAAATACGTAAACATAAATTCACTGAAAATCATTGATCTATGTAAAAATCCTAAAATAACACRTTGCACAAAAACAAAGAAACGAGCAGCTAAATGATTTCCAAAGACTCCAGTGGTGGAAGACAAACACAAAAAGGTAAAAATACTCGTCCCGCAACTAAGATCAGGAGCAGAACCACTCACATCTTTTCCACCCATGGCTTCAAACATTTTTTCCAGCTGAACCCTCAGCTGTTGGATGTTATTAATCAGAATGCAGGGCTGAAAAAAAATTAAATAATTAAATATAAACAATTCAAACATGATATTTTACCTTGAACACAAAAAATACAGTTMATCATGACACTTACTACTTTCTCCATGGTAACATAGTTGGCAAACAACTTCGAGATGATATCAGCGTAAGACAGAAGAACGTTGCTGATGGTCTGGAAATAAAAACCAAAGAATAGAGCTAAATGAAAAGGAGCATTGTGAGGATGGCTTTGAGTAATTCTGAAAAAGCTGATCTGAATGTACCTTGGCAAATCTCTTCATGTAGTGTCCTACAATCTGTGGGTCCGGACACTCTAACTTCCTGATGATCTCAAAGCTCTGGTTGAGCTGAGAAAACACATCCACCACCGAACAAGAGAAGAGAGCGTGTTCTGACGTGACCTGGAACTGCAGGGCGGAAAACACGAGCAGATCACAGTAAAAACTTAATACCAGTTTTAAAGTGATAGGATGAAAACAGTACAGTTTGTGCTCAGACGATAAAGAGAAACCGTGAGTTGCTTTATGAAACAGGACAGTCATGAGCTGAGCAGCTGAACACACAGCTGGGTGGGGAACCTGTGACAGCTGGGACGCTCCTGTCAGGGGTTTTATAACTGAATTGTGATGAAACACCTGGGTTCTAATTGACAGGAGGGGAGTGTGTCGGTGTAACCCAGGGACATCTAGATAACGAGGTAAGGATGGATTTCCTGCAGTCAAAGCTGTAAAATAAGGTGGTTATTCACAAAGTCCTGCTGCAACACAACCATCTTCYTCTTTAAGTCTTTCCTTTTTTAACAACAGTCCTCTGTGCTGCACCTGTCGACTCTTTTAGGTTTACAGCAGAAAGGAAAGGCAGAAGATGTGAAAAAGGAAGTGCTGAATGATGACTTTCAGTATAACACGAGGTCCAAGGCCTTTCCAGTCCACTAATGAGTACATTAAAAAAAAGTTAGACTTTAGACTTGAATGACCGATATAACAGTAAGAGTGGCAATCCACTCCATAGATCAGTGTTTTTCAAAGTAGGGGGGCCGCAGATCCCTAGGGGGACACCAGAGGGCGCGGGGTTGGAGGCT